GAAGTCACAACCCCTTTCAGCCACAGCTGGAGCAGTTGACACTTGAAATAATACGCACCTCAAAGGTTGTAAGAATTAGAGAGTGGTTAGCAAAGAGAATTAGAGCACTTAGTAAGGAATCTGGCATAAGGAAGAACCATTCAGTAAAGATTAGCTATTGATATTCTCATTATCATGCAAAGCCAAAGGGACTTGGATCTTTTCTTCTTTATCTTTTTATTCTTCCTTTCTTTCCTTTTCTCTGATTTTTTTTCCATAAATCAAAAAATAAAAAAAGAAAACACACAATGCATTCAGCAAAGTAGAAGTTTATTTAGCTCTCAGACAAAAATCCAGGATGGGTGCGGCAGCTCTGAAATCCAGGCTTCTTCCCTCCCTATTAGGTGTGGCCGCCGTCCTCAATATTCAAGATGGCAGCTAGAGCTCTAGGGCTCATGTCTGCATTCCACATAGCAAGAGAGAGGAGAGGAAAAGAAAACTCCGAAGTTTTGTTTTCCTAAAGGTTTCTTACTCAGGAAGTTTTATTCCTAAAGGTTGCTTACGTCCACACTGGCCTGGACTTAATCACCAGAGAGGCTGAAAATATGACCAATATTCCAGGTAGTCATGCACCCATAAAAATGTGATTAGTATTACAATGGAAAATTGAGAGAAAGAAATATGGAGGGACAACTACTGTTCCCGGATGTACCCAGCCCTCGAAGTCTAACAGATTTAAGTCATTCCCCAGAAATCCATTCTCATCCAGTTTTACCTGCTTATTTCTCAGATAGGGAACACCGTCTCCAAAAAAGGCAGTTGCATAGTTTGTTTATCCTACTCAGCTTGGCCTTCTTTCTTTCTAAATTCCTCTTACACTTTTAACCCCTCATCCACAAATGTCATTCATTTTCTTTTGACTGTCCAATTTTAATAAGCAATACAATTACTTTATTGTAGAAAAGTTAGAAAACACAGCTAGGCACTTAGGAATAAAGCATTTTTACAATATTAAAAAATCATACCACTTAGCAATAACCACTTCTAAAATATTGGTCTATAGCCATCTAGCATTTTCCCAGGTGAAAATATACATGTGTATTTATAATGAAAATCTAGTCTACATAATTGTTCTTAACACCTTCTGTTATACTTAATGGTATATTATCAGTAACACTCAATGTTATTAATTATAGATAGATTGATACATCATCAATTTTAATGACTGCAAAGTTTTTCATTGTATGGGTATGTAATAATTTATTCAACCAATTCCTTGTTTAATTCCACAGCATTTTTTAAACCCCCCATTACATACATCTTTGCTCATTTGTCCACCAGTTTCTTGGGGATGAGCTGTATTCCTGTGGTTTTCTCACCCCTGGGGTCTCCTTACTGTATGTGCAGACCAGCAGGAAAGGACAGCTCAACCATTCCATCAGCAAAGTACTGTTAGGTCTTGTCTCTACTTCTGAGTTGCTTGGAATTTTTTTTTCAAATGAACATTGCAGATTCAGGAGATCCATGAAGACCTAAATTAATGCCTCTCTATACCCCATTATATGACTAGCAAGACTGAATAGCAAGACTGCTATAATGAGAGGGGATTACATAATCCCACTGTGTGGAAAACCACAAAATAAAATATGACCCTAGGTGGCTGAAGCACTTCCTCTTAAACATAATCTGTTAGAACTTGCAGTTTGTCAAGCTGACTTCAAGCAAGACTGGAGTAAAGCCATTTCTATGTGGAAAAAAAAACAATTTTAATTAGTAAAATTGTATTTGACTGAAATAATTATTTAGACAACTGATTTGGCGAATGATTATGCTTGAACTGATTTTTTTTAAACCGATGATCGATTTCTGACTAATTGTTTCTTTGTGTCAGTTGAGCTTCCTAATGATCCAAATGCTCATTTTATAAATGAATACAGTTTAGGAAAGACTGAGTAACTTGGCCATGATTACGCAAATGGAAAGACGTGAAGCCAGAATTCAAAATCAGTATGCAGACCCAGAGTCCCTGACTCCACTCTCATAGATGTGGAGTCGAGTTCCTGACCCTGTTGCTGGCATAGTGATTAAGAAAAAGAGCTCTAGCATCAGGTAGTCTGAGTTCATGTCCCATATCTGCCATTTCTCAGCTGTGTCAACTTATGCAAGTTAATAAATCACTCTATGTCTCTGTCATCCTGTCTTATAAATGGAGATAATGAGTGTCTAACTCCAAGGGCTATATAAATGAGATGATCCACATACACACTTAGCACATAGGAAGTGCTCAGTAATTAGTTATTAATATTATGCAGGTGCTGTCTGAAAACCTTGGCCGAAAGGGTCATAGACATGGCGGCCATCAGGGTTCAGGTATACCTGTAAAGGTATATTACACAGGTAAACTTGTATCATGGGCATTTGTTGTGCAGATTATGTCATCACCCAGCAATGAATGAGACTTCCTGTTGCTCTTCATTCTCCCCAGCATTTACCATTGTCAATGTTTCAGATTTTCACCCTGCTAGTAGATGGGAAAACTGACAACCATGCCTGCAGGTCTGATATATGCATCTGTAAATGTACATGCAGCCAAAAAAGAGGAATCCAAAAAACAGCTAGTGAAACCAGAGCAGCTCCCCATATATGCTGCACTATCGCTCCATTCTAAATATGTTGAAGAGCAGCCTGGTCATTTACAAATGGGCTTTGCTTCCATCTGCACTGCAACTGGTCATTATATTGGCTGGGGCAAGGGTGTTTATGTCTTTGTGAAAAATGGGATAATGGATACAGTACAATTTGGAAAAGATGCTTATGTCTATATGAAAAATCCTCCTTAGGATTTTCTTCCAAAAATGGTAGTTATTACGGTTTCAAATGGGCTTGGTTTCAGCACGAAAAAGTTCTAAGTTTAAGAAAATTACTCATCCTCTAGGACTGGCCACTTTAGGAGCAACTGTTTGCTACCCAGTTCAGTCAGTAATAATTGCTAAGGTAACAGGGAAATGGTATACGCTACAAGCCAGCAGATTTTGGGAGTAGTTAAGTCATTGTGGATAAAAAGCAGCATAAAAGAGTCACTTCCTAAATCTAAAGAAAAAACTAAGCTAGGATCCTCTGCCAAAATAGAAGTGCCTGCCAAAACAACTCACGTCTTGAAACACTCAGTGCCCTTGCCAACAGAACTCAGCTCTGAAGCAAACACCAAATCAGATTCCACTTCAGGGGCTACACAGTTTATGCGTGACCCCAAGCTCATGGATCACGGGCAGTCCCACCCAGAAGACATCGATACGTACAGCACTAGAAGCTGAAGTAGACTGCATAGAGAGACTACAAGATGTGTGAAGTTGCAAATAATGATGAAAAAAATCACATCATGGGTAACTGATACATAGAGTATTACCTAAACCAAGTTTTTCCCTTACCTCTCCAAATGTGCAATTCGGTAAATTACATAAGTGGTTAACACACAAACTCTGAATGCAATCCAAACAGTATTAAATGACTGACGAGGAGACATAGGTAGAAATATTAGCTTGCATTTGATGACCTATAAGGGCATTTATTTTTTTTAAATGAGGATATGAACTCCAATGAGACTAAAATCTGAAAATGCATATATGTATGTATAAAGACATACATACTTATATGTATAAATGTATTTCTGCTCTACCTTTCCCAAATTAATGTTACTTAAATTAGAATGGTGTGTGGGAAGATGTGTTTCCCTCTGGTTTTTGTTGTTGTTGCTGCTGTTTTGTTTTGTTTTCCATGTCCTACAGCTGGAATAAAATATCCATGTTTTATGGGAAAAAATACTATGCAGGTATACCCCAGATAGTGTAGGTTCAGTCCCAGACCACTACAATAATGCTAATGCCGTAATAAAGCAAGTCAAACAATTTTTTTACTTCCCGGTGCATATAAAAGTTGTTTACATTACACTGTAGTCTACTGAGTGTGCAATAGCATTATGCCTAAAAAAGTATATCTAACTTAATTTAAAATACTTTATTACTAACAAAAAGTTAATGATGATTTGAGCCTTCAGCACGTTGCCATCTTCTTGCTGGTGGTGGGTCTTGCCTCAATATTGATGGTTTGCGGCTTCACCTTGCATTTTTAAGTTATAGAGACAGCTTCTTTTCTTTAACCTCAAACAATCTCAGCTAGCTTCAAACTTTTCTTCTGCAGCTTCCACACCTCTCTCAGCCTTCATAGAATTAAAGAAAGTTAGGCTCTTGATCTGAATTAGGCTTTGGCTTAAGTGTATGTTGTGGCTGGTTTGATCTTCTACCCAACGAGTCAAACTTCCTCCATATTAGCAATAAGGCTGTTTCACTTTCTTATCATTTATGTGTTCACCGCGGTAGCACTTCTAATTTCCTTCAAGAACTTTTCCTTTGCATTCACAACTTGGCTGTTTGTCACAAGAGGCCTAGCTTTTGGCCTATCTCAGCTTCAGTCATGCCTTCTTCACTAAGATTAATCATTTCTGGCTTTTGATTTAAAGTGAGAGATGTGCAACTCTTCCTTTTACTTGAAAATGTGTAGGCCATTTTAGGGTTATTAATTGGCCTCATTTTAGTATTTTTGTGTCTCAGAGAATAGGGAGGCCCAAGGAGAGGGAGTGAGATGGCAGAATGGCCAGTTGGTGGAGCAGTCAGAACACAAACATTTATTGACAAAGTTTGCTGTCTTGTATGGGCAGTTTGTGGCACCCACCCCTCAACTCAGGCATTATAATACTAACATCAAAGATCACTGATTACAGATCACCATAGCAGGTATAATAATAATGAAACAAAGTCAGCACGTGGTGTTGGAACAATTGCACGAATAGACTTTTTCAGCACAGGTTGCTATAAATTTTGATTTGTAAAAAGCTCAATATTTGCAAAGCATGTTAAAGCAAAGTATAACAAAAGAGGGAATGCTTGTATCTTCTGTTCCTCTAGACTCTAAGCTAAGTAGATATTTGAGCTAAGTATGTATTTTATTGGTCTGTGCCATTGCAGGTGCCTCGAGCCAAGGCCTTATGCAACTACAGAGGGCAGAGTCCTGGTGACCTAAGGTTTAATAAGGGAGATGTCATTCTTCTCCGGAGACAGCTTGATGAGAATTGGTACCAGGGGGAAATCAATGGCATCAGCGGGATCTTCCCAGCCAGCTCTGTGGAAGTCATCAAGCAGCTGCCCCAGCCACCCCCACTCTGCAGGGCCCTCTACAACTTCGACCTACGAGGCAAGGACAAGAGAGAGAACCAGGATTGCCTCACCTTCCTCAAGGTAGGATTCTGGGTGGCCACCACAGTCAGCTGGGACCACATAGAGACCATAGCAGAACCAGAGTTGCTTGTTTAACATTTGCTGATTTTAAAAAATTATATATTAAATATATTATATTATTGTTCATATTTATTCTTTTATGCATAAATTATATTTTAAGCATAAATTATATTTTATGCATAAATTATATATGTAATATGTGTGTACAATTCAAACTAAATGCAAGTAAAATCTCTACAGAAATCTACAAATAAGCGATAGAAATCTGTGAGCCTTTTTTATTGTAATTACAAAAGTATACACTCATTCACTCATTCATTCATTCTATCACTTTTGAGCACTTACTCTTTGCAGGTCCTGGGAATAGGACATGAATAAGTCACAGTCTTTGCTCTCCTGGCATAGTAATGGGAAGAACAGATACGTGAACAGAAAATCACAAACAATTTGATAACATGCTATGTAAAACCATGCCCCTACCTCTTAATCATGTATGTGGAAGGGTATTCTTGCTGACCAAGTTATGCTTACCTAATTCTACTCATTTACAACATTCTATGTTGTTGTAAACATCACATTCAAAACACTGCAGACACACATAACAACATAATCATGCCTTTCTACATAAATAATCTCTTACGAGACATACTTTTCAAACATTAATTACCCTAAGATTTCTTGTGCCTCTGTTTTTCATTAGATGATTCCCCACCATTTGCAAGTAATGACAGTTCTACTAAAGTCTACACTACTTTAACTCTCCGTATTCAGTATTTGTTATTCCATAGACATTCACATCTCTCATAGAAACCACAGTTGGAATTATTTTCATTCTTCACTACTGGTGATAAGTCGATCAAATATAAGTATAGAAAGAGGCACTGTTACAATACTTTAGCCAAAGTCTTTTGTTTTGCAAAATATTTTTATTCCACCACTACCAGAAAGGAGATTTACTTCAGGTTTCCTCAAACTAGACAACCTCCCTGTCCTCCACATTTTGAGATAACGACGTTTATTATTTCCTTGGGACCTCAGAGTGAGACTCCTAAGGAAGGTCATTCTACAGCCCAAACAGCAAAGTTTAGATGTAGACTACAGTTAGAGGAAGGTCAGTTCAATCCCGCAAATATGTAGTGAGTAATTATTTTGTGCCAGGCATTAGACACACAGCTGGAGGAAGACATAAGCAGGGAGTATCATCGTCTGCCTCTCTGACCCTTTCTGGGAATTTGCAAACTGGGACATTTACTCTACATGCTTATTCATTTTTTGAGCCCATCCATGTGCCAAGCTGGCCATTGGAGATAAAGTGATGAGTCATTGTCCTTACCTTCACAGAGTGGGCAATCTAGTGGAAGAAACACACTTATAAATGGGAAATTATGATAAAGAAACCGGAAAAAAGATTTGACCCATTCTGGAAGGCTGTGGAATACAGAGACTTCTAGGAAATCTCATGGTCTAAACTCAGCACATCCAAATTAAACTCGAGATATTCTTTCCCAAAGTTGTTCTTTTCCTAGTGCTTTCTAGCTCAGTAAATTATATAATTTATTCAACTTCATGTATTTATTTATGCATGGATGCATTCAGGAAATATCTGTTGCCTGACTACTAAAGGGAAGCCACTGCATTAGGTGCTAGGGACAGCAAAGATTAACAAAGCAGACACATGGAGTTTGGCCCTGCATACATGGAGTTTATGGTCTGATATGGTAGACAGACATTAAAGAAATAATAACCTCTGGGCACAGTGGTTCACGCCTATAATCCCAACACTGTGGGAGGCGATGGTGGGCAGATCACTTGAGGTCAGGAGTTCGAGACCAGCCTGACCAACATGGCAAAACCCCATCTCTACTAAAAATATATAAATTAGCCGGGTGTGGTGGTGCATGCCTGTAGTCCCAGCTACTCAGGAGACTGAGGCGGAAGAATCGCATGAACCTGGGAGGCGGAGTTGCTGTGAGCCAAGATTGCGCCATTGTACTCAGCCTGGGCAACAGAGCAAGACTCCATCTAACAACAATAAAAAAAGAAATAACCTACAAATGCATAATTGCAGATGTGTAAGAGCAGGAACCCCAACCCCTGGACCACCAACCAGTACCAGTCTGTGGCCTATTAGGAAACAGGCCGCACAGCAGGAGGTGAGCGGGACAAGCAAGCAAACTTTCATCTGTATTTATAGCTGCTCCCCATGGGTTGCATTATTGCCTGAGCTCCACCTCCTGTCAGATCAGTGGCAGCAATTAGATTCTCATAGGATCATGAACCCTATTGTGAACTGCGCATGCAAGAGATCTAAGTTACATGCTCCTTATGAGAATCGAATGCCTGATGATATGAGGTGGAGCAGTTTTATCCTGAAACCATCCCCTATCCCCCACCCTCTCTCCCTACTCCCTACCCACTGCAGCCATGGAAGAATTGTCTTTCATGGAACTGGTCCCTGGTGCCAACAAGGTTGGGTACCGTTGTGTAAGAGGAAGCTAAGAAAGGGTATAATGCAGTAACAGATTTAGATTTGAATTAATCCCAATTCCTGAGGAGCATGGAACATAATGTCAGAGAGATAAAAAGGTCTTTAGTGGATGAATATACAGGTTGAACTTGATGAATGTTGTATGGACATGGTAAGGTGTTCCTAAAATAGTATTAAGTTAAAAAAAAATCAGTTTCCCATATGGCTTCATTTATGTGAGGTACAGGAACAGGCAAAATAAATGTATAGTACTAGAAGTCAGAGTAGTGGTCGCCTCTTAATAGGTGGTGGGAAAGGGCACAAAGGAACCTCCTGGGTGCTGGGGATATTCTATATCTTCATCTGAACAGGGATTTCATGGATATATTCAGATGTAAAATTTCTCAAGATTTGTGCACTTCATTGTATTCATGTGTTATGTTTTTGGAAAGATTTTAAAAATATGTACATTTATATGTGTGTATGTTTTGTCTTGATAGAAAAGAATCTGGAAAAAATGTGTTATTCAAGCTATTGACATTTGATTGTATCTTTATTGTGGTATAATATTTTCCTTTTTTTTTGCTTATCTGTATTTTCAAATGTTTCTACAAATTTACATATAACCTTTCGTAGTAAGAAAAATCTGAACAAAATGTTTGAAGCATTAAAAATTGAATACATTCTGAAAAGTCTTCTAAATGAGCATAAAATTCATTTTTCTTTTTGCAAAGCTAAAAGTGCTTCTCCTATGGCTTCCATCTTGATTTCTCTATCAGATAAATTTAAATGAAAAGCTTGGACCCTCCTGGTGATTAAAAATTGGAACATTTCTAAGTTTTCCTATTGTATTCTATTGATTCTCCAAATTATTTCTACTCCTCTATGGTCTCGGTGACACAAATACTGCCCTTTATGAAGAAAGTTCATTTTAGCAAAAAGATTTCCCAAATAAATCAAGCACAAGCTATATTCCTCACACCTTACACCATCTGAGACTCCAAACTGATGTCTGCTGAAAGCTTCTACTGCCTGAAAATGGAAGTAAATGCTGACCATGAGACTTTCTCTTTCAGGATGATATCATCACTGTGATCAGCCGAGTGGATGAGAACTGGGCAGAAGGCAAGTTAGGAGATAAAGTAGGCATCTTCCCCATCTTGTTTGTAGAGGTACGTGAGTATCAAGTCTACATCTGGTTCACGCCTGTACAGAAATATGCATGTGCTACAGTGATGCCTGAGAACAATTCCTATTTGATAGGAGGCTTATTTCAGAACTAAAATCTCTAAAGAATAGATGCCAGACAATAACACCTAATTCTAGCAAGAGTCTGGGGAAATGAGTGAAATCTCTCATATGCAAACTAAAATAAACTTACACCAAAAGTATTAAAACTGTGTGCCTCCTATGAGTCCACAAGTCTACATATAAGAGTTTATTGTAAGAAAATATTTAAATAAGTATGCAAAGATAGATATACAAAATGTTCAAAACTGTTCACCATAACATTAGGTAATGATGTATAATTATGACAAACCAGAAGTACTCAAAATATTCAATAATAAGGACTTCATTTTAAAAAATTGTGGTGATGATAAAAGTGTCTCTCAATGGAGAATACTATAATATATGGAGAATAATATTTACTATCATAAAGCATTTGATATTATGGAAAGATTTATGATTTATTGTTAAGCTTTTTAAAAGTTTAATAGATATACAGTTTCAGATTTGCAGGATAAAAGTTCTAAAGATGTATTTCATAACAGCGTGAATATACGTAACACTGCTGAACTGTACACTTAAAAATGGCTCAGAAGGTAAATTTTATGTTACATGTCTTTTATCACAATAAAAAAATAAGTTGGACCACATGGAACCAGCTTTATAAATATATGTGTTTTTATATAAATGGATAAAGGACTAGAGAAGTATATGTATCAAAATGTTAACATTTTGTGATCACTAGATGGTGAGATTCTAGATGCTTTTCATTTTCTTCTGCCAACTTGTATTTTCTATATCTTCTGAAATTAGCATATATTTATTACTTCTGTTTTTTTAAAGAAATATTTTTTTTAAAAAAAAAAAGAAAGAAAACATGCTAAGTTATCTGTATCTCCAGTATAATAATATAACGGGTCAGTGCCTAACCTTATTAGCCATGAGCCTCACTTTAGATTGAAGCAAGTCATTACATATTTAAGGAGAGGTTTCAGCCGGGTGCAGTGGCTCACACCTGTAATACCAGCATTTTGGGAGGCTGAGGCAGATGGATCACAAGGTCAAGAGATGGAGACCATCCTGGCCAACATGGTGAAACTCCATCTCTACCTAAAAACAGAAAAATTAGCTGGGCCTGGTGGTATGCACCTGTAGTCCCAGCTACTCGGGAGGCTGAGACAGGAGAATTGCTTGAACCTGGGAGGCAGGGGTTGCAGTGAGCCAAGATGGCGCCACTACACTCCAGCCTGGTGCCTGGCAACAGAGTGAGACTCTGTCTCAAAAAAAAAAAAAAAAAAGGTTTCATTGTTTAACTGCATTTATTAGGTGTTTAACATGCATAAAGCATTAAAAATGAGTAGTGGAAAGCTATGAAAGAAGTAAAAGGTGTGCTGTCTGCCCTGGGCATTGGAGGGTTTGAAACAGAGCAGACCACAATGGAAAAGCAACCAATTCTTCTAATCATAAGAGCTAAAGCAGGTTCTGAAATGAATGGCATACCCAGAGCATTGCACAGCTTTCAGTGTTCTCTGTAACTCCTCTACTCTATCAGTGTCAAAGGAAGGGTTGGAGGAAGGGTCCAGAGAGGCTGGTCTTCTTATTGTCTCTATTAATCTCATTCCTACTTCTCATTCCTAATACTTTTTCTCTTGCTGAGGCCCCTTTCAGATATACCACCCAATTCTCTTTACCTGTTCAAATTTCACTTATTTTATAAGGCTCAAATAGAAACCTACTTTCTCTATAAAATTTCAGCAAGTAGTTAAACCCTCAATGGTCTCTATCCTCACTGAATATCTGATGAATGTGTTAATTGTACTTCACAGGCTAACCTAATACAGAACAGGCACTCTGTTTTTAAAAAATTAGCTTAACAAGTGAATGAATGGAAAACAATTCAGAAAGTAGTCAAAGCACCCAAAGGGGAAAAAAAAATTAAAGAGCAAACCATTCAGTGTAACCCTGTCCTAAACATATATTTAATTATTCAACTAATTTTTCATTGAGTGCCTGCTATGCCAGGACCTGTGCCTAGTTCGAAAGACACAAGACAAACATGGGTCCCTGCCCTGAGAGACTGTAAAGTCAGAAAGTATTCCAGTAGTTACAAGTGTGATGAATCATGTAAAGACTGAAGAAGCCGGGTATAGTGGCTCATGGCTGTAACCCCAACACATTGGGGGCCAGAGGTGGGAGGATTGCTTGAGCCCGAGAGATTGAGACCAGCTTGAGGAACATAGTAAAACTCCCATCTCTACAAAAAACTTATAAACTAGCCAGGTATGATGGCTCACACTTGGTCCCAGCTACTCCAGAGGCTGAGGCAGGAGAATTGTTTGAGCCCAGGAGGTCAAGGCTGCAGTGAGCCATGATTGTACCACTATACTCTATCCTGGACAACAGAGCAAGATCCTATCCCAAAAAAGAAAAAAATAAAATACTGAAGTAGAGGAAACTATTAGGAAGTTATGATATGCAACTTACCTGGGCAGAAAGTCAGCAAATGTCACTTATGCCAAGATCTGACAGATAGAAAAGTAAGTATGGAAGGAAGAGCATTTTAGGTAATGGAGGTAGCATGTGCAAAAGTCCTGCAGAATGAGGAGGTAAAGTGTAGCCAAGGGAAAAAGGAAGTACCAGAGCTGGAGCTTAGACAGTAAAAGAACAAAAAGTGAAGCCAGGGAAGTAAATGTAAGGCAGATCACAGAGGACTAAACCATCCTGTATAGTCAGGATAGGCTAGGTTATGCCGTGGCAATAAACAGCATTCAAGTCTAAGTGGCTTAACAAAAAAAAATATTATTCCTCACCTACATTCCATGTTCAGTGCAGAATGAAGAGGGGTTCTGCTCACATAGTCACTCAGGAACCCAGACTAGGAAGTCCACCTGTTCCAGATGATATATCTTGTAGCTGCATCATCTGGAACAGGTGGACTTCCTAGTCTCCACAGTAGGGATGCATGAAAAAGAGTGAGTTGTATCAGCAACTAAACACCTCATCTCAGAAGTGACACTTGTCACTCCCACGCACAGCCCATTAGCCTGAATCAGTTACATAGCTTGATCTGATTTCAAGTCAGCTGAAAAGTATAAGGGAACACATGAAACATTGGGTATCATTGCATTTGTCATATCATAAGAAGTGTGGATTCGACCCAAAAGCCAATAGAAGCCATTGAAAGGTTTTTGAAGTGACCAGATTTGGATTTCTTAGACTGTCCTGGCTGCAGTGGGAGGAATGATTTGAGGAGGAGAGAGACAAAAGCAGGAAGTCCAGTTAGGAGGCTCCTGCATTGCCTAGTTAGATGACCGTGGATTAGACCAGGAGGTTCAGGGACATTTCAGGAGGCAGAATCCAGAGGACTTTGGGATTGACAGAGGCAGGGACACAGAAGATTAGTGGTCAAGAACAGCCCACTTCTTGATTTATGGACGTAGGTCAGTGGCAGAGCCATCTTCTGGGTAGGAGCCTTTTCGGAGAAGGAAGTTACTAAGATTCGGAAACAATGGTTAACTCTCTAAGGACAGAGATCAGCTGCAATTAGTACCTAGTTGGACCCATAAGAGGTATACTTAAGTATTTATCGAAATTGTTGCCTGGTCTACTGCATTATCTTGAGATGCTTCTTCATAAACTCTGGGAGAGCGGGGAGGCACCGCTCATCTTATTACCCATTTCTGAAACCCATTTTCCCAAAACTTCTCCATTTAATGATTATTCATTTGGATACACTTTCCTGCCACTTCACCTCTAAAATTAGCAAATACAAGAACCATCACGATTATCATTAAACTAGCCAGTGCTTCATTTGTTCTCCTAATTGCTTGGAGGGGAAAAAGATAATCAAGTGGTTGCTCTAATCTGGAAACTTGGTTTTCAAAAATTACCTGAAATCTAAATTGTGCTTTTTAAAGCAGCACTTAAATTTTGACTTCAGTCATTTCATTAAAACTAGCACTTGCTGAGATCTCTTTAAATAAGTTTTGAATTACCAGTGCCATGCAAAGCAATTAGAAGAAAGGGAGGCTTTCTTATAAGCATGGGGTGTGTGTGTGTGTGTGTGTGTGTGTGTGTGTGTGTTTTGGCATAAACAGGGTTTTTCTTGTTAATGTATCATTTTACTTATTTAATTGCACCTACATTCAAAGGTGATAAAACAAAGGCTCAGTCTATGCTCATTCTTATCAGGGCTCCTCCAATGGAGCCTGCCTGGGTTATATGAACTTTGCTCAGCCCAATGAGCCTCAACAATATTGTTTCAAATGAGTGGGTGCAAATCTAAGAGACCTGCAATTCTTCCCCAACAGAGCTATTAATCATGTTGGCAGAGGACAGGGCAGATGCAGAGTCTCCAGGGGCCCTTTGTCAGTGTTGATGTTAGAAAAGCTGAAGGTGGTGCTCACCTGTGGACAGAACAATTAGGCAGAAGCAGAAACAATTAACTTATTTCATTATAGCCATGAGTGACTGTATAAAGAACTTCACCATTCAATTCAGAGCATATATTGCCCTTTAACTGGGTGAACAATGGAGGGGCAGGTGCCCTGGGTCCTATAAGTCATTTTTCCTAGTTCAGAGCTTGCCTAAACAATTTCAATAATTTCCTAATTGGTCTCCCTACTTCTGTTCTGGCATTTCTAAATAACAGCCAAAACGAGCTTTTGGTTTTTTTTTTTTTAATTAACATACAGAAAAATTTACTCTTTTTAACATCCAGTTCTATACATTTTAATAAATGCATACAATTGCGTAACCACACCACAATCAAGGCATAGAATAGTTCCAACGGCTGCCCCGAAATTTCGCATGCTGCCCTTTTATATTCAATTTCTTCCCCAAGTCATAACCACTGGCAACCACCAGTCTGTTTTCTGCTCCTGTAGGTTTCTTTTTCCAGAATGTCATATAAATGGAATCACACAGAATGCAGCTTTTTGAGTCAGGCTTCCTTCATTTTGCATGATGCATTTGGGATTATCCGTGCTGTTTCATGTATCAGTAGTTCATTCCTTTTTGATGCTTAGTAGTATTCTATTGTATAGATGTGCCAGAGTTTGTTCATTCACCTCTTGAAAGACACGGGAGTTGTTTTCCAACTGTTGACAACTATGCATAAAGCTGCTATGAACATTTTCCTACTGGTTTTTGAGTGGGCACAAGTTTTCCTTTCTCTTGGGTAATTACTTTGGAGTGGAATTGCTGGGTCGATGCTAAATGTGTGTTTAACTTTCTAAGAAATTGCCAAACAGGAGCATAAGCTTTTAAAGGCACAAATCAGATCATATCACTCCTCTACCTAAGTCCTGCCAAAGACTTCCAATTATACATAGAATAAAATGAAACCCTCCCTGACTCTTGTGATCTGGCCCCTGCCTATCTCTGTGACCTCTTTTATCATCTTCTTCTCACATGCTCTGTTCCAGCCCTCTCTCTATTTCTTTCTTCTGTCTTTCTCTCAAGCAAGCTATGTCCTTTCTCGCTTTAGGACTTTCACGCTAGCTTATAGTGCCTCTTTGGGCATGTTCTAACCTCCATTGTTACATAGCTAGCTCCTTGTTGACATTTGTTGCTTCAGCTTAAATGTCACCTTCTCAGATCTTCCTCGACCCCCTAATTTACAGTAGCTGCCTCCCCCAATCACTCTCTATTACATCAGACCACTTATTATTATATGATGTTTTCTTGTTTACATGCTGGCTCTGTCATTTATAAGTCATCCCTTCCAGGCCTCAGCATTCTTATCTTTAAAGTAGACATAATAATACTCATTCCCCTACTTGATGAGGTTTTCACAATATTATAAGCTTCTTGAGGCAGGAACCACATTTTCTTTAAATTTTTCTTTTTAATAAATTTATTTATTTATTCCTCAACGAACGCCATATTCAATAAAATTTTCTATTTCAGCTATTTTAATCCTCTGTACATTGTCACTAAAAAGTCCTTTAATGGGCAAATTTCCTTCACCTCTATAGCTGGATTTCCACATTAGAATGAGATGTGGTTTTAGAGGGCAACTGGTAACAATAATAAAAATGGAAATTTAGGTAATCATTCTAAAATTTTAGAGTTATTGCACTAACCCTTGTTTGTCAACATGTTTCAGATTTCCAAAGAAAATGAACCCACAGGGGCCCTCAGTGAGTAGGGTACTCAAAATATTATTATATATTTTTTGTGAGAACTGACCGATAGAGTAGGGAAGACACACATAACACAGTGGTGTACCAGAGCTGGCTGGAACTAGATCACAAGAGCTAGTTGTTACATGTTCAGGAATTTTGCCAGCCAGTTGTTAAACCATTGGTGGCCTGAAAAACTCCACAAATTAGGACTTGTTTTCTTTCTTGCTTGCTACTTTTTGTTTTTGACAGCTGATTTACCAACACATCACTGGCCAAGAGATACAGAACAAGGAAGAATGGTGATTACATCAACGTATCTAGAGGAAATAGTAAAAGACAGTCTTAGCATAAGGATTCAGGGTACTGAATGTACTTATATTCTGACTCAAACACATCAAATGTATAAATTCGAGCAACTTCACTCACTCATTATTCCACAAACACTAAGAATCTACTCTAGGGTACAGGAGAGAATCATGTGTAGAAAAAGAAGGTCCCTGCAACCCAGGCAACCTACAGACTAGTGGGGGAAAGGCAAGTAAAGGATTGTGGTTTGGAGTGAAAAATGCAATGACTGGGAAGCAGAGGGGCTGCTGGGAGCACCAGGAAGGGCAAGGGGATTCCAGGATGGCTAAAGGAAGAGGAAGGAAGCCCACTAGGTGAAAAGAGCTGGATATGACTGGGAAAATGGGTAAAAACAGAATACTCTCAGCCAGGAAGGAGCACCATGGCTTATTTCTATCCCCTTTGGACTTCAGTAAAAGAGGAATACTTTGAGGAAAGTTGTGAGAATGCATTAATAGAGCAAAGTCATGAGGATGCACTGATAAAAGATGGAAGTTATTACTGTGCTCACCAAGGAATGAGCATCTGAGCCAGGGACTGAGGAGGTGGCATCTGACCTGGCTTCACATGGGCGTGGGTAGGAACTGGCTACTCACATTAAATCAAGAAGACAAACTTCTCATTGGACCTTTTGTCTTTTCAGCCAAACCTCACCGCAAGACACCTTCTAGAAAAGAACAAAGGTCGCCAGTCATCCAACACAAAAAACCTGTCCCTGGTGTCCTCGTCCTCCAGAGGCAACACACCCACCCTCCGTAGGGGCCCAGGGTCCAGGAGGAAGGGACCTGGGCACTTTTCCATCACAACAGCCTTGAACACTCTCAACCGGATGGTCCATTCTCCTTCGGGGCGCCATATGGTAGAGATCAGCACCCCAGTGCTCATCAGCTCCAGCAACCCTTCTGTGATCAACCAGCCCATGGAGAAAGCAGACGTTCCCTCCAGCTCGGCAGGGCAGGTAGGGAAGAAACTCCTGGGGCGAGGACACTTTGGAGTTGGGCAAGTGATTCATACATGTCACAAGCAATATTTGATGTTTAGTACTTGCTAAACACCCAGAATTCCCTGATAGTAACTAATGCTGTATGTACGCTGTCAGAATTGTATAAACATTTCCTTTCATCCTTGAACAGCCTGCGAGTTAGGTGTTATTACTTTTATCCCCATTTTACAGATGGGAGAACTGAGGTTTAGAGGGGTTAAACAGCATTTTCCAAATTCTCACAGATACTTTTCTTTCCCTTGCTGAGTGCCATGACATGGTTCTGTCCCTTAGAGAACTTCCCTCTGAGAAGATGATGGCACCTATTTTCTCAAGAGTGTTTTGGCATCACAATTTAAGATTCACTATGCCGTCCTCTGGCAATGTATTAAGCATCAGATGGAAAGAAAGCAAAAGAAACTGTGGGTTATTGAATGTTCTCAGGACTGGTTACCTACCTTTGTAGGACTCGGTGCAAAATGAAAATACAAGTTCTTTGCTCAAAAATGATCAAGAATTTCAAGATAAGAACAGCAGAGCATTCAACCTGTGTGGCTACGCAAGTCACACACTGGTGATGCCAGCCCTGGGCGTTTCCAGATGGAGCACCTGATAAGATAATACATGTAAAGTGCCTAGCACCATGATACCTGCCATATACTAAGCATCCAATAAGCGTTAGCTCTTAATAAGATTGTTGTTAACCCTGGTCACTGTATTGCCAGCTGAAGAGAGATAAGCCTAGAGTTGGTCGTGGCAATCCAGAAGCTGAAGTATTTCTAGCAGCATATGGCTATTTAGGTCGAAGGGTACTTCAAAAGATGAAGGAGTGGAGGTATGAGGCGAAGTAATTAAGAAGAGCCGCATGTTGGGTACTCAGCTGAAAACACTCTTTGGGACCATGCAGGTCACAACTTGAAAGGACAAAACTCAACTTGCACTGATGTGGTTTTTTTTAAGAAGCTGTAAATCTTGTTTTTAAACATGAATTTCTACCCTGGGATTAAAAGGCTTAATTGGACTCTAATCCCCTTTTAACAAGACAAGGAGGAAAGAGAAAGTCAAGGGCTCCTCAAAGACCTGTGTGCTATTCTGAAAGGAAAACAATCACCTCTTACAACACTTCATATCTTATTTCACTGTCTGGGTCGCTAAGAAGTTGGCTGCTCGTGTAATTCTGCCCACCACCTTCACCACATGCACACACATACACACTTTCTTTTTCTCCCCCATTCTACTCCCCTTGCTTTAACAAAACTATAAAACTTTCCGCATGCACACTGCACTTCTTTACAAGTACATATTAATATATGCTTTATGCCCAAAGTTCTCACACACACACACACACACACACACACTCTAAAATGGGAGCCTTGTGACTCACAGTTAAACCAAAGAGTCACAGAATTTTTTGAAACGATTCTTTATATATAGTCATAGATATATAAAGTGCAGCCCACACTCAATAGAAATAAGCTAACTCACTCAGCTGTAAGTTAGCTTCACAAAAGATTTAGCCAAGAGTCATTTTCTGTGTGCTTTTAAAATTCTTATTCTGGGCATTTATGTCATCTACAGAGGCTGGACTGGAGTGGGAGAAGTCTAGTAGAAGTTAAAACAAGCATTATTCCTTCGTAGTTTTCACATTAGTGAGAATTCCAGAGTATGGCATTCACACATCCGATGACCAGGGAACCACTTCACGGCAGCCTTTTCTCCATTCAGATGGCTGTGGATTATAATTATTTCTACATGTTTGTCCAAGGGTTGTAAAAACATACTCGAAATGGCCCATTTATGAGTTATACCTAAAGATGAGCAGAAAGTTGAACAAATGACAAGTTTTTCCCTTTTCTCTAACATTCTTGAGAGCTGTGGTTGGGTCTAGCTCATCACACTCTTCCTACCTCCCCCACTCTAGCCACGCACATGGTGCCTAGACCCTAGCAGGTGCTCAATAAATCAAGGAATCAAGACTTTTGACATAAATATCTGGGCTGATGGCAGTGACATATACTTAGGGAAGACTGGAGAAAGAATTAATTTCTTAAAGAAAGATTACAGATTAAGGTAACTCTTCCAGCCAATAAACATCTGTTGAACGCTTATGATGTGCTAGTAACCATAGTGAGTACTGGGGATTCTACTCCAAAGCAAGAACAGTAATATAACCTCAGACTTTACTGAAACTACTATGAGATGGATGGATCTGTAGGAGGTAGGTAGGTAGGTAGACATATAGATAGATACATAAATAGAATGATAGCCTGTAATGGGAAAGTCTCCTTTGACTGCCAGTCTCCTAAGTTCTGCCCTCCATTCTAAAACTGTAGTAAGAGCCTTTGCAGGGGAGGTATTATCAACACTTTATAGCAAGGTAACTAAGGCCCCAAAAGAAAAATGATTAAGCCAAGCTCATGTAATTTAGTAAAGAGTCTGGACTGAATTTAGAATTGTCTAATTCTAGAACATAAGCTCTTGTCACTACACTATGCCGTCAACCAAGACCGCATTAAGCAACATTGTTATGCCCATGTAGTGTATCCCGGATGTCTGCAGCCTCCCTTTTCTTGGTCATCTTCACTTGACTCCTTTTCAATGCTAAGGCCTTCCAGCATTCTCTTCTCCACCCACCCCCTCAGTAAAGAATTTGTCCTAAGTGTTTTGCACCTGAAAAAGGCTTCCATTTACTGTTTCCTCATGAACTACCAGTTGCGTCCAAACATTGTGTACGGTGCTGATGGCACCAGGAATAAGCTGCTGCCTTTCTCCTCCTGTGGTAGAGACAAGTCTTGGATTGTCCCTCAAACCCCAAAGGGGAGCAATTGCTCCCCTTTCATAATCAGAAGCCAGAGTCAGGAATTTTTTTCCCTTTGTCATTGTGTCTTTCCACCTGTGGGAAACAACTTGGAACTTCTGGGTAGAACATGAGGAAATGACCTCACAGATGAACTGCAACTATAGACTAAAACCAATGGCACTCAAAACAATTCAGGATTAGACCTGAAGTCGCTGAGTAAGATCTGTGGAAAACTGCAGTGGAGGAAGTTAAGTGGGTGGATTGAAACCAAGGCAGTTGGCCTCTGGGAGAGTCCTGCAGACAAAGAAAGTCAACTACACATGACACAAGTTAGAAAGAAGTCCTTCAGCAATGCCTCTTTGGGAGAAGTCACATGTGCAGGGCACTCCCTGGAGATTCTAAAGTTGACTTGGTTCAGGATGTGGAGCCTGCTCACCTCCTGCCTCCCACACTCACAGAGCAATGAAGCATTCTTGTTTTTCTAAGATGTTCTGCTCCTCAATATGCCCTCTTTCTCTCCTTCCCTTTTCCCTCCCTGTCAATCCTTCAGCCCCACTCCCTTAGCCTTCCTCCTTCTATATTACAGATCCAGAACAGCTGAACTGCCATGCAACTAGAAAGCTCGCTTTCCCTCACCTCCTACATTCAGCTAGTCAGCTGATTGTGTCACCTAAATAGTTATTGCTTTTGCCCATTGCATTTCACAGCCTTAGTGTGGATCCTCATCTCTTGCCTAGACTATTGCTCCAGCCTCCTCACTGGCCTCCCAGAGCCCACACTGAATCACTTCGCCTCACCCTGCCCAATCCCTCCCACTCCCATCCATGCTTCCAATCATGGCTTCCATAATGACCTCTTGCAAACCCAAATCCCTTCGGCTACTTCTCTTCCCCAAACCATTAATAGATCCCATTACTGAGTGATCACTAAAACCCAGAAACTACAATAAGGGATTTACAAACATATGATGCTCCTCAAAACTATTCTGAGTAGGTATTGGTATCCTCATTTTACCAAAGAGGAAAACTCTGGGAGTGAAAGATTAGGTATTTTTCTTAGTCTTTTTTTAATTTTAATTTTTTTACTTCAGCAGCTTTATGGATACAAGTGGTTTTTGGTTTCGTGGATGAATTGTACCGTGGTGAAGTCTGAGATCTTAATGTACCCATCACCAGAGCAGCCTACATTGTACCCAATAGATAATTTTTCTTCCCTTAACCACCCTTACCCTCCCTCTCTTCCTTAAGTCTCCCATTTCCATTACACCACTCTGTATGCCTCTGCATACCCATAGCTTAACTAACTCTTACTTAGAACATGCAATATTGGTTTTCCATTCCTGAGTTATTTCACTTAGGATCATAGCCTTCAGTTTCATCCAAGTTGTTGCAAAAAACATGATTTCATTCTTTTTTACGGCTGAGTATTCCATGGCGTATATATATGCACACCACATTTTCTTTATCCACTTATCAGTGGATTCCTTATCTTTGCAATTATGAGTCTTTTGTTATAATGGCTTCTCATCCTCTGGGTAGATACCCAGTAGTGGGATTGCTCAGTAGTAGGATCAAATAGCAGATCTACTTACAGTTCTTTGAGAAATCTCCATACTGTTTTCCATAGAGGTTATACTAATTTGAATTTCCACCAGCAGTGTCTAAGTGTTCCCTTTTCACCACATCTATGCCAACATCTATTGTTTTTTTACTTTTTAACAATGGTCATTCTGACTTGGGTAAGGTAGTAATTTATTGTGGTTTTAATTTGCATTTCTCTGATAATTGGTGATAGTGAGCATTTTTGTACATTTGGTGGCTGCTTATATCTTATATATTTTCTTTACCCCACTTTTCCGTGGGATTGTTTACTTTTTTCTGAGTTCCTTGTAGATTCTGGATATTAGTCCTTTGTCAAATGGATAGTTTGCAAATATTTTCTTCCATTCTGTAGGTTTCTGTTTACTCTGATGATTATTTCTTCTGCTGTGTGGAAGTTTTTAATTTACTTAGGTTTCCTTTATTTATTTTTGTCTTTGTTGCATTTGCTTTTGTGATCTTAGTCATAAAAGCTTTGCCTAGGCCCGTGTCCAGAAAAATTTTTCTAGGTTTCCTCTAGATTTTTTATGGTTTCAGGTCTTAGATTTAAGTCTTTAATTCATCTTGAGTTAACTTTT